CTGGCTTGAATTTCTGCCAGAATACACAGGCTTCGCACGCAATGTCTCAGACAAGAGACATTTTTTTTCTTGGCACTAAAGCCCCACTGGGCCTAGGCCTACCTCCATGAACTTCTCCGTTCACTTAGGTTTTTCTAGATCTTACACATTAGGGAGGACCCCTTGGGCGGGTGATCAGCTTGTCGCAAGGCCTCTGCCTATACACAAACACAGATAAACGCACACACAAACTAAACATCCATGCCCTGAGTGAGATTCGAACCCACGATCCCAGTTTCCAAGCAAGCGAAGACAGTACATGCCTTAGACCGCTCGGCTACCGTGACCGGCGACAAGAGACATGGCCCAACATAATACAACGCAGCCGAGCGGTCTAAGGCATGTACTGTCTTCGCTCGCTCGAAAGCCGGGATCGTGGGTTCGAATTCCACTCAGGGCATGGATGTTTGGTGTGTGTATGTATATGTGTTTTTCTGTGTTTTTGTGTTGTCCTGTTTTTAGGTAGAGGCTTTGCGACGAGCTGATCACCGTCCAAGGAGTCCTACCGTCTGTAAAATGACCAAGAAACAGAAATAAGCCCTGTGCCCCAAAGTGGGAGCGAGAGGAGAGAGAAAATGAAGCAGTAATTTTCACATACGAAGCACGTACAGGCCGATGTTCAGTTTGCTCACGCCGTTTGTTAAAGAGGCCGGTCTCTCCAGGAAGATAGTTGGTATTTGAAGAAGCAAGTGGTTGTTCGCTGTTGGAAGACGCTTGTCTTCATGTATGTAATAAACCACAAATGTCTGGCCAAAGACTGGAGGACTCAGGGTAACTGAACTTTACACATCTTGAATACAAGTGCACCCTCTGGCGAGCGGCGTCCTGTTTTGCATTCCTGTAGCTTGGGCTTCAGTCCACACACACTGTTCTCCCAGCTCAGTACTGCGACAATGCCAGTGACGGATTACCCACGTTACTTCTGGGCCGTGGACATAGCTCAGGAGCTTAGCCACCGGCTTCTCGTCACGGAGGTCTTGGGCCAATCCCAGGTTATTTCATATGGGATCTGTGACGAACAAATTGGCAGTGTTCTCCGAGAAACTCGGGGTTTCCCTGACGATTATTATTCCGTGAAGACTCCCATGCTCGTTTATCATCTGGCACAACAGGCACGTTTGAGGCCAAAGTACAAAGGACCTCAGTTTCATTCTACTCCTGACACTAACCATTGACCTTCATCCACTTGCACAGAGATAGTTCAGTCATTGGAGTAACTAATTAGTGGCTTAAAGACGGACGCAGATATGTCTCCCTTTGCTGCTGCGTCCAGACGCTTTTAAAAACCACTCAGCTTGATATCTGCTGGACACTGGGGTCCCCTATTCCCGGTGATGAAGCGGACGGAGCGTGAAGTTGAACACTTCTATTATAGAGATCGGGAAAGCATGGATCTTCATCTCCACTTGCATGTACATACGCCTTCATGAAGCAGTATTTCAGCACAAGGACAAAGTCACCGTTTTGCCTTACTGTGACTTACTGTCGTATTTTGAGTTAGAGACACTGTGTGTAACAAGGCTGTAGTTATTTGGGACGGTGTTTGTTTTCCAAGTTTGCCACTATGGACCATGACATTTTGAATTCAAATGCGTTTCCATTCTTCAAATAATATTGACAGCGTGTTGTAACGGCAGAGGGGGTTATTAAGCTTTGTTTTGTCGTCTCGTCGACCTCTGCTGTTGCTTCCTCGATGTTATCATATTTCGTCATAGCCTATTTTTTATATACTGCACTCTCTCAGAATATTAATTAGAATCTTAACAGATTGTTCTGTTTGTGAGAGCTGTTATTTTTTCCACGGCGGTGAAGATGTATTTATGGCTTATTCAGCAACGCGGGCAGTAGCTCAGGTTGTGTTGCATAGAACAGTAGGATGGTTATGAATTGTAAAGGCCGTGGAATGAAGCGGATGTGGCCTATTTCAAGACAACATCCCGGCCGAGATTCGAACGCTGCACCTTTCGAATGCAGTGAATATGACGAGTTATGGCACCGCCCACACTTGTGGGATGTTACCGGCGTTTCGGAGGAACCCGCTTCCGTCTATTGGAAGAGAAATGTTCACGTTGGAGCTGTCTCTACATCACACGGTGGAGTAATTAAGAGAACCGATTATATACGTGGAATGGGAATAAAAACTGACTCAGCAGGTTCCCTCGAAACGTCGGTGACGGCCCTGTACAGATGTCAACATCCGGAAGACCACAACATGAATTAATATTTAATTTCTTCATTAATCTTTGTTTACTTACTTACTTAACCCGTTCCTCTTATACCCAACTGTGTCGAGGTTTTTTTTTTATCATTTTACAGACGGTAGGACTCCTTTAACGAGTGATCAGCTCATCGCAAGGCCTCTACCTAAACACGGGACAGCACAAACAGAATAAACGCATACACACACCAAACATCCATGTCATGTGTGGTGTTCTAACCCACGATCCCGAATTTCGAGAGAGCGAAGACAGTACATGCCTTAGACCGCTCGGCTATCGTGACCGGCCTCTTTGTTTACTAACCCCATAAAGTACGGTGCTTGCTGTGTGTACCGTCACTTTTAGCAGTGGAAGACGTTCCATCATTTCTACCATTTTTGTAGTATGGCGGTATAACGACCAAGAACCGATGCAGTTTCCAATCCAACCACTTGTAATAGCAATTGTTAGGTCTTACAGTGTGGCTGTCGACGGGGATTCAATTGGCAATCGGATCTGTTGACCACTTTAACACACAACTCGTAACTACACTTTACAAATCACTATGACACACAGACTAGTTAGTCTCCACTATCCGTTGCCTGGTAACGGCTTACAACGGCGGACGTTCCTCATACTTCGGGTTCCTGAACTATCCCCATGCCTCAGCTACCATCGTCTAACAGCAGCTGAACTGCACCAGTCCTCTGATTGCTCACCAGCCAACCCACTTCTCTCCACTCTACTCAACTGCACTGCACTCACTAACTGAACTGAACCCGGTCGGTCGAGTCATATAACTTCGAAGCGGACGCACAGAGAACGCCATTAGCAACCCTTCTACTGTTGTTGGGTGGCGTCATTTCTTACGTGACGCATTTCTCAGTTGCGTGTGTACGGGCCATTACCTAGCAACGGCCGGTCTCTTCTGGCTACACTATTCCAGATTTTCAGCTTCTGTGTAACAATGTAATTGTATTTCAGTGTCCCAGAAATTCTGTTATACTACGGACATTGTATTTTCCACTTATAACTGTTCCAGCAATGGCGTAGTTGTGGGCACTAGTTGAGAGGCACTTCATAAATTAACTTCTGGTTGTGAGTCTCTCTTCGGGCTCAAATTATGTAACTGAGTCTTATCTGACGTCGATGATGCACCTATTACTTCCACTTTTTTTTTCTGTGGCGCTACAGCCCCAATTTTGGGTCTAGGCCTACCTCCATGAAACTCTCCGTTTCACTTCGGTTTACTAGATCTTACCCATTCGGTAGGACTCCTTGGGCGAGTGATCAGCTCGTCGCAAGGCCTCTACCTGTAGACAAACAGAAAAACGCACACAAACATCCATACCCTGAGTGGGATTCGAACCCACGATCCCGACTTCCGAGCGAGCGAAGAGAGTGCACGCCTTAGACCGTTCGGCTACCGTGGCCGGCTATTACTTCCACTTACTCGCTCTATTAACACTGTTGAGGTCTTCCCAGATGTTTCAGAACCGGATGCTAGGACCAGGAGACTAGTTACTGTGGGCGGCAGTGAGCTAAATACTCGTATGTTTACAAAATTTAGGGGTCCAGAGTGAAAGAGAATAAGTGAAGGCCGATGCACGTGTAGTGGGACAGAGATGGGACTCCTGCTCAGAGCTTAACGAGCCTTGCTTCGACAAGACAGTAGGACACCATGACTTTGATTACACGTCATAGTTACAAAGAACCATCAGTTTTATTATATTCACTGATTGAATTACAAATATATCTCTCATTGCGTTGCGGGTTTCACTTCAATATTATATTTCAACAATGATTATACTGGTTGCTACTTTGTTACATTGTCAGTCCCTGTAGGCTGACGTGATAAGTTGAGTCTTAATTACATTATATACATGCGTACCACTGAGCGACGCAGTTTGGTGTCTGTACTGCACTAGAAGTTGATGAAGACTTCGATGGGACGCCGCTTGAAGTCATCTGTTTCTGCAAGCCGTCGATTTCAAACGATGTTGCCTCCCTTCTCCTAGCTTGACTGGTTACCTTTAAAATTTGGGGTTCACAAGACAAATTATTTCAGTCAATGAAATTTATTTATTAGGCAGTTGGAGACTTGAAACTCGCAACAAGTTAATTGCATTGTCATCTCGTGCAGGCAAATTATGTAGCCAACTGTTCACATCTGTTAGGTTTATCAGTGTCCAAATCCTTAGAATTAATGTAGTGAAATAATTAAAAAAATAGTAAAGGTATCCGTGTAACAGGCTGTGGAGGCCCATAGGGTTGTGAGATGTTGAGGTTCCCACATTTTCTAGACAGTCAGCTCCTAGATGGCGGCAAGGTTGTCAGCCTTACGCGCCGGCCGCCCCTTGCCTCCAATAATATTCCTGGTACTCATTTCTGTTAGAGGCTGAGTCGACCCCAGGGCCATGTGCGGCTGGAAGGATTACGCCAATTGAAAAAAAGATCCAGTGTCCTCATCGGGACTTGAACCCGCGACTTTCCGGCTTGTAGCATAGTGCCTCAACCAACTACGCTACCGCGTGCCCCCAATCCAGTGAAATACACTCTAGATAGCACAAGAATGGATATAAGTTACCATATAAGTATAAGAATCAGACTATGTCTCCTTATTTCTTTTTCACCACATAAATCTAAATCTTGATTAACATAAATGACGATCGTTATGATCGGTTATACACCACTGGAGTACATATTCATTGTCGTCTGCAGCATAGACACGTAACTTTGTAGGTAACACAATGTTATTCACCTTCAGTTTGATGACGTTTGAGCAGCTCCCTGATTATCCTTACGTCCGTGTACCCTGAAGCGATATAGGCAGGTGTACGTTGGGTTACCGTGATTGCTATGAATCCTGAGCTCTATTAAATGAAAAGGATATGGTGACACTTCCTGAATTGGAAAGTACTGTAGAGGGCTGCCGTCAACATCGTAGGTGAAGTTTCCAAAAAAGTGTCCTTCATCATTAAGGCTATACAATCCCCATACAGAGAAATCCTTTGGTGCGCTCCATAATGCTCCTGCAGGTAACACGTCACGTGAAGCATGCTCCATAGACACTGCGGTGATGTGGACCTTACCAGTTATTTGAATCACAACAGCACCTGAGCCTTCAAATGCCCAGCAGTCACCAGGCACGACACAGGCCTGAATGATTCGTTGTACTGGGTGTTCACATGTTCCAAACCATGATGACCTGTAATCCTTGGTATCGCGTGTAGATACTATAGAACCACCCATACTTTCCAAGGCATAGTCTAGTTGGCCTGTCGCAGTGGTATCATAAAACTCAGTTGGATGTTTCACATTCTTAGAAGTATCATCGAAGTTGCTGGGTACTTCTCGTGAAGCTTCGATTGCTGTATCCACTCTCTGTAGTAAATGTGAAAGATCCCTCTGCAGTTCTCCCAAGCCAAGTAGCCCGTTAGACAGCTCTCCTCTGAGAAAATTGACTTCTTGCCTGAGTACATCAGCTTGCACTCTGTCTTCTGTGTTACGCCCAAAGGAAGATATAACCTGCATACATACGTATGTTGTACCTACCGCAGCGAACAACAATACAAGTAGATGAAAGCTTACATGAAGAATGCAAACACTTCTTTGTTGTCGGTTACCCTCCATAATACAAATTTATATTCTCTTGTTTGCAAATTTTCAAATGATAGTGACTAGATGCACGGTATGTAGGGACTATCGAATCCACTGAATGTTTATTGCTTCTGACTACAAATAGTCACAGCACTTCACTGTTCTGCACCATCTAGGAATAACTAGAGCACACTTCAGGTCTTCCCAGTTTGCGTTATTGCACTAGTCGTCTCCTGGTAACGGACCGTAACACTGTCGTCGTTACCGAACCGTTTCCTGGTAACGGATCTTAACGCTTACGCCCCAACTGTCTGCTACATGTCCCACAACTCTGCTGATTTCAAGTCAAAGTTACTTTACGACTGACAGTTAACTGGCTATCAGTTCGTTTTGGCGTCAAGCCTCTTGAATTTCACGACCGGAGATTTTTTTTTTCAACTGAACCCTTACGGTCATAGTCTTTATGTAACACGGGCCAACAGAAAACACAGTTCTATTGTTGCGTGCCTGTATGTTGCGGGTATTACCTAGCAACGGCTGTTATTTATAGAGTCGCTTCTTAGCAACGGGATATCTGGGAAATCCTTTTCCATTCATTATTTCCCATAATTTGTTTCTTAAAACCGAATAAAATATTTTACATAGTGTACGAAGAGCAGCTGTGTTTCTACATTATTGCTCTGCTGTTTCTTCAGGAGCTGTTAAATTGTCCATACCAAATCTTACTCTTGTTTGTTCTTCGTTATTACATGTATTCTTCTTGAAATCGTTTGGACTTGTAACTTTTTTTATTGCTAGTGGGGTGGGACGGCCTATTGTACCAGCCCCAGATGATAGGCGAGGGTGATTGTGGAATGAAGATTGGTAGGGGAAACCGAAGTACTCGAAGAAAACCTGCCCCAGCGCCACTTTGTCCACCACAAATCCCACTTGACCAGACCCCGGGATCGAACCCAGGCCGCCGCGGTGGGAAGCCAGCGGCTACGCTACCGCGTGCCCCAATCATAACAAAGCCTATAACTCAATTAATTTTACTTATTTGTGTGCTAACACAACATGCAATATAATAATAATAGCAATGTAATAGAAATAATACTCTGTGTTTAATATTTCAAATTGTGAGAAACTTCTGACCAATACGATGGAAGTTTGTAAGCAGGAAGTTGGGTTTTGTGAGTTCTGCCTGTACTGTATTTATTGACTACCAACCTAGATCCCCCATAGTTTGGTCACATTGCCTGATGAGACTCAGAACCTGACTCCATGTTCCCAGTATTAATTTGCACATTTGTACCGTTTCAGTGTGCTGTAGCGAGGTGACCCAGCGAGACATGACGCCGCCGATGTGCGACTTGGGATGAAGCAGTCACTGAAACTGCAAGGTCGCAACTATCAGCGTCGTCGACGTCGGGGTAGAAGAAGACGATATCACTCCCTGTCACCATGTTCACCAGAAGGAACTGGGTGCTGCGTCTCAGCATCATCCTCAACATCGCCGTCCTACTGTATGTAGGGAGACACATCGCCTCCAAGAATGGAGGTGTCGACTTCATTGAAGAACTTCAAGCTTCCGGGAGGAACTTGGCATCAATCGACATTTCTCAGTTGCCTTTAGAGCCTGCATCTTCAGGCGGTAATTCAGCTGCTGCTAAGTTCATTATACTTGACAATACAGATAGAAGTGCAACTGCTAGAGGCCAATCTAATTCTGAAGGAAAGCAGTCACCGACAGTAGTTTCGGCTTCGGACGTTGCATCGTCTATCATAATATCGACGAAAAAACCTACAAAACCTTCGTCATCCGTAGCGACTTCAGAACAATCTGTTGTAATGGATTTGAGAGAGCAGAAAAGCTCTCAGAGTGTGCCGGAAACTCTACAATATGTTAACGGTACCATGAAGAAGCTGGAGGACGCGGTGAAGTGCCATGATAGAAGCGTTGAACCACGGACCGCACAGCGGAGTGATTTCTGGGTGTTGTATAATTACATCCCAGCCACCCGAAAGTTCCGTTGCCATGAGAGTATAACCTATACGACTCACGCAGACTATACATTTCTAGATAATCTCGTCCCTTTGTTAGAAAGGTGGCAGGGACCTGTATCTTTGGCAATGCATGCCCCAGGGACGGATTTCGCTCCCACATTGGAAGCGATACGCTATGCGCGTGATTGTCTCTCGCCTTTAATTAGTGAATTTGTGACTTTTCATGTGTTTTTTGGTACGAGACATGTTCCGAAGCAGGTGCCTTCGGCGAGCAGTGTAATAAAGGAATCTGCCAATTGTTCCCTGCCTGCCCCTTGGGCGAATGTCTCTTCGGCGGCTCTTTACAAGACCAAGGCAAAGATTCTTTACCCAGTCAACATTGGAAGGAATGTGGCCCGGGAGAGCGCAGTGACCCACTACATTTTGCCTTCGGATATCGAGCTGTACCCGAGCCCCGGACTCATTCAGAACTTCCTTGACATGGTTCGCAGGCAGGACCCGCCCCTCCTGCACACCAACCCCAAAGTATTCCCTTTACCCATATTTGAGCTTGAGAAGGGAGTCGAGCTCCCAGCCAACAAGACACAGCTGGTAAGTCTTCATGTCAGAAGTTGTTATTACGAGTTTTGGTAATATTATGAACAAGAATTTAGTCTCAATTTAACCCTTTCAGTGACGAATTTCGTTAATAAAGAAACGTTGCAGTTTATTTTGTGCTGACCAGAATTACACCGTCGTAATTGATTATTTGAATTATCAAGAGATGGCACAAGAGAATTATTTTCGCGCGTGCTATTCAAAATTTGTTTGGAATACAAATGATGTTCGTTAACGAGATATCTCGTTGGAAGCACTGAAAGAGTTAATTTTCTCTTTTTACTATAATGATTTGGTAGTAAATAAGTACACGTGCTTTTATTGCATCATCCTTCCCCGTAACAAATAAATTGAAACTCTGTCGATGGCCACATCTGCGCTCATGCTTTGAGCTCCTTTGCCCTTCCCACATATAAATTAGGCGTACATAATTTATGAAACAGTTTTTCACGCTTGCAGCAGTCGCATCTAAGTGAACGGTGCACAGTATTAGCCACGAAGTCATCTACTGCGTAAGTCTAGGCACGACTCTTGTTACTTATATGACATTTGTCCAGTGCAGTCGCATCTAAGTGAACGGTGCACAGTATTAGCCACGAAGTCATCTACTGCGTAAGTCTAGGCAAGACTCTTGTTACTTATGTGACATTTGTCCAGTGCTCTCTCTGTGACGTCCTTTCCATAAGTATTAAAATGTAATCAGTAGCATTACAGAACTTACTGTACGGTTTAGTGTAGCGCATCGCGTTTAAGCCGTAACGATTCAAAGAATTTGCCGTTTCCTTCTGCAGGAGTGGCTCCGCTCCGTGGCTTGAGTCCGCAAGCGAACTATACCCACCGAGCGACCGCCGTTTGTCGACGAAGTTAGTGCCAACTTTAGCAGACAGAGCGTGTCGCGTGGTCAGCGGAACGGATCCCCACGGCCGTTAATCTCAGGTTTCTAGACCGGAGCCGCTATTTACTTGATATAGCTCCTTAGTTATCCTCACGAGGCTGAGTGAACCCCGTTCCGGGCCCAGTACTTCTCAGGAAATGTGGTAGCGCCCGAAATCGAACCAGGGACCTCTGGATCTGTAGCCAGGAACTCTGACCACTAGACCACAGAGGCGGTCTCCTCCGAAACAGATAAGTTTTATTAGTTTCTTACAGCATTATAGGCGGAATACTAGATAATAAATTTACGGCAAAAAGCAGAAGCCTCGTAACGTTACAGAAGTGTTCAAGCAGATCACAGTCGTCCTGTGTAGCGCCTTTAATTTTATTAGAAGATCCATCCAGAATTTAAACAATTAATTCATCCTCTTGGTCTGTAAATAGAATATGGCTCTGAAATATTTTATTTATATTTTGTTGTCAATATTTGCCGAGAGCTTTTACAACTACGACACACTCTGTACTACTACATTTTTCAGAAAGATAAAATTGTACACGGCGTAATAAAATCGCTTCATTTGTGACGCAGAATATATGATGTGGTTTTCCTTGAAACATATCTTTTTTTACATGCCACACGAATGTAAGGTAACAAGAGAACCAGACATATCTTCGCATTCGCCGATTCACGATTGCGCGTCTTCTTACGGATCAGCATCAAAACCGTGTTACCATGGAAACGTCTGTCATGCAGCCAACGTCTCCATAAGAAACGTCAGAGGGCAACTAATTTATTCTCAGCTCAGTCCGTATAGTGACTGCTGCGGGTTTGATAGAGGAATTTTGGTTCCGTACCCGGCAGAGGCAAGATCTCTTCCCCCACTCCTCCATACCGGCTTAGGGATCCAACCAGCCTCCTATCCAGTGGATACCGAAGGTTCTCTCCTCCACATTGGATAAAATGGCTGGGACTTGGATCTGACCACCGAGTTCAAGCATACCTGAACTCATGCCTCAACTCCTCCATACATTTTTACGGTGCTGGGTTTAATTTAGAACAGGGGCTTCTTTTCGTTGTGCTGTTCTGTTCCCTTAATGTAATGATAAGCTTGTTAGCCCAAAGTGATTTTCTGATGCAAGTTTTTATTGTTTGACCGCCTCTATGGTTTAGTGGTCAGAGTTCCTGACTACAGATCCAGAGGTCCCGTGTTCGATTCCCGGCGCAACCAGATTTTCTGAAAAGTAATGGGTCTGAAACGGGGTCCACTCAGACTCGTGAGGATAATTGAGGAGTTATTTCAAGGAAATAGCGACTCCGGTCTAAAAAACCGAAATTAACGGCCGTGGGGATTCGTTGCGCTTACCACGCGACACCCTCTATCCGCAAAAATTAGCACTAACATCACCGAAAAGCGGCGGTCGCTCGGTCGATACACGAGTAGTTCGCTTGCGGAATGAAACCACGGAGTTTGTTTGTTTGCTGCTTTTGTTTGAAATTTTATTGTTTAAATGTTCGTCACAGCCGTCACAAAAGTGCAGTAATCACACAGCTGAAGAGACTGTGACTAGGATCAGTGGTATAGCTCATGTAAGCCGCGGTTGACTCCCTCTAATTAGGTATGGGGTAATTATCATTAGCATGAACCTATTTTTTTTTTAATTCGTTTAGTGGTGGGTGGAGTCCAACTGGGTCTACTCGGCACGTCGTTCACTGATTGGCCTATTGTAGCCTACCCCGGATGATTATGATGATGGAGAATTTTGTGGAATGAGGATTGACAGGGGAAACCAAAGTACTCGGAGAAAACCCACCCTAGCGCCACTTTGTCCACCACAAATCCCACTTGACCAGACCCGGGATTGAACCTGGGCCTCCGCGTTGGGAAGCCAGCGATTAACCGCTTGAGCTATGGCGCGGCCTATGAGCCTATGTTGATAAGAATACTATCATGGTTGACGCTTCAGTCCGACATAAATTACGTCAGTTTGCACCCTGTTTTGGACGTTCCTTACAAATTAACGAATTACTCCTCATTTGGAGGTCCGTTTGCCTGTCTGTGACCTGATATCAGCGGAAGCCATTTAACATTTTTATTTTTTCTTGAGATTGGAGACTTTCACTAAAAATGGACATTTCCAATTGTTAGACATATTGACCTATAATAAGTTCATTTCACTTAAAGCCATAAATAGGCTATTTATATACATTATATTGTTATATTATAAATAATTAAATTATCGTATTCCTTATGCAAGATGTTGGCATAACGCTGGTCAGCCATTTTGGTAACCATGTTGCCCGATTACAAAGCCTACATTACATGAAAACATTAATGAACAGTATGTACCCCGCAGGAGCCGGGATGGCGACTGGCTACAGGCTGGACGACCGAGAGGTCGGTGTTCGAGTCCCGGTAGGGTCAAGATTTTTCACTTCGGTCCACCCAACCTTCTATATGGGTACCCGGAGCTCTTCAGTGGTACTGTAACCATATATTTCGCTTTGCACCTTTAATACAGGAGAAGAAATTGACAAGAATCGATTTATAAAGTTGACTGCAAAGTTATTTCCATGAACTACAGATATATGAAACAGAGAGTTGCGAAATGTTTTTATTTATTACATCACTTCCACGGATTAAGTGTTTTTGCCTTTATAGTTGCATATCCACATTTTTGTTAGGAGATTTACGGAGGTGATTATGAATGTTACATTATTAGTAGCGACTTAACTTCACGCTTCACAGATTAGGGCCTCTTAGTCTAGCTTTTTATTTACGAGTATTACATCACTTCCCCCGATTAAGTATGTTTACTTTTATAGTTGTAAGTCCACATTTTTTGTTGTGAGATTTACGGAGGTGATTATGAATGTTACATTATTAGTAGCGACTTTTCACGCTTTACACATTAGGCCACTTATTCTGTGCCTATTCACGATTATGAAATAGTAAATTTTTAGACGATTTGGTTCAACGGAGAGCCCATCAGAAGGCACCACATGACCATTCATTCATCAGTGGCTCTATAGTCCTTTATTGGGCCGTGGCCGCGTTTTTAGTTTCGTAATCCCGTACACAGTCGGTAGGACTCCTTGGACTGGGGATCAGCCTGTCACAAGGCCGCTATCTACACACAGAACAGCACAAACAAAATAAACGCACATAGGCATCCATTCCTCAAGTGGAATTCGAACCCATGACCCCAGTGTTCGAGCGGGCGAAGACAGTTTATGCATTAGACTGCGCGGCCACCGTGACCGGCGCCACAGGACAAGACTGGACATAACATTGCGGTGATCTGTACCTTGAGATTGAGTCGAACCCAGGATGTCAATATTCTTGGTGCCCAAAGCCGTATGCATCCTAGAGTGAGTGGCCAGTGCGATCGGAGCCAGTAACTGTAACTGCAGAAAAGAGGTCATTTGTTTTTAGTTGTTACTTGGCATTTGCCTGTAAGGATGGAGGGCTATTCGTTTCATTTCCGTGTCGCTCAGTTGCCCAAAGATTCGCTGCCTGTTTTGAAAACCAAAGCTTTACCTTGTTTTCAAGTCTCTGTCATTAGTCAGATGAATGCATACCACATCTTCAAGATCCATTTTTAGCCTCCCATCCCTATTTTGAAAACATAAAAGTAGGCTTGTGAGATCACCTTTCTGTTTGTGTATATGTATAACCCCCCCCCCATCATTGCTAGGCAAACATGTTCTAGCAGCAACGAATACACATGCAACAGTAGAAGAATTGTGGTACGTCTCGTTTTCTTTTCGGTCCGTGTCGTATTCAAAGGAAAATAGAGAGTTAGTTCTTCTCAGAACTTTTTTGTGTTATCCTTTTTATCTGAGTTTAGGCCTCTAAAATAATATTTCCTTTCGGGGTTTTCGACAGATGCGTTTGTCTTCCCTACACTCACTGCATGCTGCGTCTGTCTTACCCGCCTTGATTTGATCACTGTTCATAAACCTGTACTCTTCTTCAAGTATAATTAGAATGATCAACTCGAGGATGAGGTGGGCAGGGCATGACACAGGAATGGAGATGAGGAAGGCATGTAGGATATTGGTGGGAAAACAAGGTGAAAAGAGACCACTGGGAAGACAAAGGCGTAGGTTGGTGGACAATAATAAATGGATCTTAAAGAGATAGGATGGGATGGTATGGATTGCATTCATCTGGCTCAGGATAGGTACCAGTGGAGGGCTCTTGTGAACACGGTAATGAGCCTTCGGGTTCCAAAAAATGCTGGGAAATTATTGAGTAGCTGCACAATTGGCGGCTTCTCAAGAAGGGCTCAGCTCCATGAGTGAGTGGATAATACCGTATTTTGTGAAACAAAAAAAAAGGTAAAATTTGCCACTGTGCTAAATTAAGTACCACGCCACGAAGACATATGAGGGAGTGGAGGTATAGCTCCACCATTCTCTTCCTCGGTACGAGATGGAGATGAGTAGCCAGCTTCACGCCCCGGCACCCTAGTTTCCCTCAGAATTCGGTAATGGTACCTCTGGAATGCACTTCAGGATCATTGCTGCGAGCCTAACTTGCTGGATTTCAGAAATCTGGGAATTGATCCTGTAGGTATGTCTTTCCTTAATTGCTAATCCCGCGGTTTGCCTTTAATTCCATTGTGATATTGTTTTAGCCCTGTTTCGTGTTCCTACGGATTTGCCGTTGTAGTACACACAGTTGATCCATATCTGTAGAAGCATGCAGGTCAGGAAAGTTTAGACAAAAACCACTGTGTGACTGTGAAGGCAGTCTAGTCTTGAAGCCTGTTGGAGTATGGCCAAGGTGACTGCATGGAGCCACACCGAAACAAAAGAAACTCACCACCGTCATGTCTGCACAACTATTCTGAGGGCAGCTTTCTTCTAAGATGTTTCTTTCATTGTAAAACTGTGCTGAGGTGCTGAAGCGTATGAAGGCAATAGATTGAGACTTATGTTGTTTAACGACGCTGTTCCATTTGTAGAGTTATAAAAGCTTCAATTTCCTTATGTATTTATGCCTTATTTAACGACATTAATCTTAAGCTGTGTACTATATTGTAACGTAGAGTAAGTAGTAAGCGGATTAACTAGTGGAGAATTAGAAAGGATGTGGAAGGAAAGTCTGATTTGGGGTACTACGCGAGCATTTGCATGAAGGGATTGGAGGAAACCAAAAAAAAAAAAAACCATAATCAGGATAGTTGGGAGTCCCGCCTGGCTTTAAAGCTGGTACTTCCAGAACCGTTGCCACTTGAGCCAACTCCCTCAGCGGTAAGGAGACGAACACAGCTCATTTGAAGGTATTATGCTGGCAGTACTGTGTACCATAAAGTTTATGGGACTGTATGAGACTTGGCATGTTCATGCACTAGTTCTGCCAGTAGCAGTCTCTCTGTTATCAGTCGTTTTCAGTTTCTAGAAAAATGCTTATTTCGATGAGCTTCTTGAAATCTGTATTTTTAATTTTTTCATTTTTGGTTATCATAACTATATTGTGGACCCCTAGTACATTAATAGCTAACTAACAAACAAACCAACCAGCTTACTCACTCCATTGAGCCGAGTCCTTGAGAATCCAGTAGTCTCTGAGCTACTGAAGAATTTCTAGTTATTTTATGGAACCCAAAGGTTCATTATCATGTTCACAAGAGCCTGCCACTGGTCCCTATTCTGAATGAGATGAATCCAGTCTATACCACCTTATCCATTTTCTCTAAGGTTACAATTAAATACACCAAATAATTTCAAACAGTTTTTTGGAGATATGAGCATTTGGACCGCATATATTCTGTGAAGATTACTGTCATCTGAGCTGTGACACTGTGTAGTTAGTTAGAGAGGAATGTGCTACCGTCATCTTCAGGATTCTTCTACATCTAGCAGACTACATTACAATATTCATTGTCACTGCCACAAGAACCTCAAACCTAGCATGTATGTTAACATCACACCAGCACTCTGTCTTGAAGGAATCATCAGTAATCATGTTTCTGTGACAGGTGACCATGCTGAAGAATGGAACTGCAATCCCATTCCACAAGAAATTGTGTCCTGGCTGTCATAACATCCCCAAATCAAAGGAGTGGATAGCTGCAAAGGAGACCACTGGATTGCATGTGTTTCATATTGGAAAGCGCACAGGATACTTTGTTCACTGGGAGCCTATCTTTATTGGTACACATTATGACCCATTGTATGATGAGAGACTTAGCTGGGAGGGCAAGAGTGACAAGATGACGCAGGTAAGGGCCCTTTGTTCATCACAACTTGGACTAACAGCTTATTTATTTCCTTCTGCTCTGTGTCTATGTTTGTCAGAGTTCAAGTTCACACTAAATTCTCAGTAACATTTAAATATATTTTTACTAGAAAATTCAGTCCCTCCTTGGAACTGTAATTTGTGAAATGGCATCTTAAACTGGTAGATTGCACTTCGAGTAGATGAAAATTAGAGAGGATTTGAAACGTATAATCCAGTTCTGAGTGCCTCAGTTCCTAGTCAAACATGGATATGAGTTATCCAGTTTTGTCACCCACAGTTTTATGTATCTTCAATTTTTTATTTGAATTTACAGGGACAATTTTACCTTTTGTACAAAAAGAAAAATTTGGAGGTTTCCACACAAAGTGATCCATATTTACTGAAAACAGGGTTGTACTGGCATCTAAAACTCATTTTGCACCTTCACATACAAATGCAATTTTTTTTTTTAATATTTTATATTTTTAAGCACTTATTGCAGTAGTTACTATAGGATTCTGACAATGGTGTATAACACACAGAGATATTGGATTTTCGGAGTTTATCCATCATCCTGGTTTTTTAGGATAACTAAGAAAAAACACGATGTTACGGAAACTGGATCTGTTTCCGTCCGGTGAGGGAAAACGCCTATTCTGTTGGGTCCCTTAGAAGAGCTAGTCTCAATCACTGGACCAGTTTCTCATACATCGTGTTTTTTCTTAGTTATCCTAAAAAACCAGGACAATGGATAAAGTCCAAAAATCCAATATCTCTGTGACTTATTGCATTCATCGTGAAAGTTTCACATCTTGAAGTCCTGTGTTGTTAATATTCTGTTGTTGGACAAGTTAGTTTTTGATAATGTTAACAGTATCCAGAGTTTGTGTGACCCCTAATTTTCCATAAGGCCCTGGTCTTATCAACTGTGATGTTGAAGTTTATGGATCTCTTACTGCATGGTTGTTTAGTTACCTACAGAATTTCTTAAAACTATGAATGGCTGAAAGTTTTGCCATGGTTAGGATGATCATAATGTTTGGTCACCGTGTTTACATGCTTCTTGATTTTTTAGGGCTATGCACTGTGTGTACTGGACTACGAGTTCCAAATCTTGGATAACGCATTCCTAGTACACAAACCAGGTATCAAGACAATGAAGAAGGATCCGCAACGGGCCATGTTGGCTGGGAAAACCAATGCACTCATAAGGAAGGTCATATTCCCTGAACTGAAGGTGCTGTATGGTACCAAGAAGGGTTGTGCAGTTTGACCAAGGTTGACTCCACCCAGCAACAAAACCTCGTGCAGGTTTGTGCGTTAAAATATGGCTTTAATCCTTTCAGGAAAAATATAATAGTTTTATAATGTTAAACAGTGAGTTGATATAAGAAAGTTACAGGAATGCAGTTCTGCAGGTGATCAAGTAATACAGCTGAATAAAAAGTACTGTATATCTGTCTCTTTGCATATGTTGTCTGATAACTTGGAAACTTGTTCAGCTGTCAAAAGATTCCATTGACCAGTCACTTGAGTCCTTCATTGGGGGGGGGG